AGGAAATTGTTAATGAAGAGAAGTTGTTGTTCTTTCTATTTCTCTTTTTATTCCTTGTTATTTCAAAGTAAGAACAACTTCTATTGAGTTTGATTGTGAAAACTTAACATATTTGGGTTTATTAAATGTTTTGAGTAGTATGGACCTAGATGAATCCTTGTGTATATGATGGTTGTAGGAGTATATGTTGTTAGAAACAAGTTTTGAAGCTTGAATAAAGATTAGGCAAGTAGGAAATTATATAAATTTGAAGAAAAAAACTCATACTCATTTCATGTTGGTGCATTCGGCTATATAGAGAAAGAAGATAAAAAACTTCCAGAACCAGAAATGATCTAGCTGTTTTGAGAAATGATTAGACTGATTTAAAAAACAATCAAACCATTTCTCAAAATCATTAAACCATGTTGGCTACTGTCCAGTTTTGACATGATTTTGTATTTTGGTCTTTTCTTAGTTTTTTTTTTTGTTCTTTTAGGTTTGTTTAAGGGAGATGAAAATTGTTTGATGTAATTTAGCATAATATGTTTATTTATCAATTATGATTGAAACACTTAATGTAAGGTTAAGGATCAAATTGCAAATACAAAGAAACAAATATTTATACATGACCAGAATTTATAATTTTCAATGCAATTAAATTGAGAATTCAAAATCTATATAGAGAATGAAATTAACCTTTACGGTGATGAGTAGCAAATGATATATTGATTCTACTAGTATAGGAGAGGTCGTGAGACTTTATCAATAGTAAGGGATCATTTCACACACTCAGATATTATATGGGTGCTCGACACCTTAAAACTACAATATTAGTTAAATTGTAATTGCAATTTTCTTTAGTCGTATCTTGATTTTTATTTGAAAAATATTAAATAATTAGAGAAAATAATTCCCTTGTTAATGAGATTAGTATTCTAGTTAATGAGTAATTATAGAAACTAATTTTCAAGTTAATGGTATTAATATTGTGGTTAATAGGTAATTGAAGAAACTAATTCCATAGTTAATGGAATTAATGTCCTAGATAGTGGATGATATGAGAAATTAATTTCCTAGTTAATGAGATTAGTACCTTGATTAATGAGCGATTGTAGAAACTAATTTTGTAATTAATAGGATTAGTACCTTGAATAATGGGCAATAGGATAAATTAATTCCCTAGTTAATGAGTGACACGACGAAAAGATTGATGTAGGTTCCACTAATGGTATATCAAACAAGTATAGTATAAACTCTTATTATTGAATTGGAAACCACACACAAAGGAGGTTCCAATCAGATTATATATTGTTAACATGATTACATTAGTCATCTTATTCAATTAATGCTAATACTTGTAAATCTCGTCAAGCATTCATGATTATAACTTATGTTAACAACAAATCAAGTTCCTTTCATAGCTCAGGTGTCGGTTATACCATACATTATGGGCTATGAAAGTGCCAAGCATTTGTTGTACCAAGTGTTATACAACATAAATCAAGATTAGTCATTTAACAAGCAAAGTATTAAAGAGTGAACAAGATAACAAATATAAAACATGTTAGTATCAAACATTAAAGTCCATATTAAGTTTACATTATACTTATTCTTACACCATTAGTGTAACCTTTTCACCTTGACATAATTAACTTAGCTAGACATAATGAAAGAAAGCAAAATAGATAAACAAAATAAGAACATAAAAGTTAACTAAGTAAAGGAAAGGAAATGAAAGGCATAAACTTGATATTAATGAAAGCAAAGCATAAACATTACAAAAAATACAAAGAGAGAAAGGAAGAGCATGATCTTGATCTGGAAACCAAGATGCCTAAATGCATGGCAAATGCCTCCTTTTATAGGCCAAAATTGGGAACTATTGATTTGATGACTAATTGATGAGTGGGTGGCCAACTCTTGACTTGGTGACATTCCTTATCTTCTCTTGTCTGCCCAAAACGTCATTGATAACGTCAAAATTGGAGCCAGTTGTAAACATGAAAGTTGTAGGCAATTGTCTCAGCTTTCTTGTGTAAAAAATTCAGCTCATTTAGACTTTTAGAACTCTATATATGGCAAAAATACTGAACAGTTTTCGGGCTGGAGGACAACTTCGGGCTTCTTTAGATATATTATTATAAAACATATTTTAGTTAAGGAGTTATTGATACTTCAAGTGCAAAATGATGATATAAAACCATGATAAAAATGCACTTTTAAGTACTAATCAATGAGCGATTGTAGAAACTAATTCTTAGGTTAATGAGATTAGTGTTTTGATTAATGGACAATTAGATAAATGAATTTCTTGATTAATAGGATTAGTATCTTGAATAGTAGACGATATGAGAAACTAGTTCCTTAGTTCCTTAGTTGATGAGATTGGTGTCCTAATTAATGGGTAATTGAAGAAACTAATTATCTAATTAATGAGATTAGTGTTATGATTAATAGATAATTGGAGAAGCTAATTGATTTAGAAATATAATAAATGTCAGCTCTATGCTAAAGATGATTTTAATATGTCCTTAAAATTGTGCTAATGATATTGATTTGCAAAGATAACTTGTATATTAAGAAATTAATTATTTGATAAATGATGCAGCAAAATAATATTAAATTATCATTGGGTATTAAATTGATTACATTCAGTATTAAATAAACTTTTAGATGGCTTACAACACTATACAGAGTAGTAGATTCATGAGTTTATATCCTTTTGTTTAATCAAATGATATAGTTGAAAGAATGAATTTTTTTTTTGTATTATCATTTTATATCCAAAAATATATTTACATATCTAAATTAATTATGGATAAAGTATCTAAAGTACTTGTTTTTAAAGCATATTTATAATTTTATTGCACTCCTTCTTAGAGAGGTATCTCTGTATTTAAATTAATTAGTTATTCTTAATCAGGATAAGTAATGATATCAATAGGATATATTGATATCAACATAAATTTCTAGTTCTAATTATTTGATTTCAGGTAAGGGAGACAATAATGCTGGTAAGATTACGAGCATTAATAAGGTTTTAAATACGAAGAAAATAAAAGGGTTATAATTATTAAATAGAAATAAAATAAGGATGTATAATTGATAATTTAAAAGATTAACCATTGCTATTTTTAATGTATTTTTATAATAATTATATTTGTCTTATAGAGCCTTCTTCATTATACTAGTAGTCTTTTATTTATCCTATTGTATTATTATAAACTAGAAGTAATGTATTCTATTTTAATATGAATTGTAATTTTATTTAATTATATTTAATGACTTATAAACTCTAATTTCTTTTATGCATGACATAAACAAACAAATTATTACTACCTTGTTTTTATAACTTGGATGGTTATATTTTATATTTTATTTTTTTTAGGTTGTGTAACTAATTATGAATATAATTATAAAAGTTGAAGTGAAATGAAGAGTATTATTGATGTGGGGTAAAATTTAAAATGATTAGATCATGTTTTGAAATTATATATACAAGAGTAACATGATATAGTTGATAATTTAAAACTTTCAAATATATGGGAAACTCTATCAAAAATTTTATAAATTAAAAAAAATGGCTTAAATAAGTATAAATATGTTTTTTTATTCAATTATTTTGGGAATGTTACATTTACAAGTTTCCTCCCAAAGTTATCGAAAATATATTTTTTACATTATCTAAAAATTACAATGTAAAATTATAATAAAAACAAATTTTAAAATCTTAAATAAATTATATATTAAAATATATTAAAATAATATTTTTTTTAAAAATTATTTTTAAAATCAACATATTAAAACAATTCAAAACATATATAAAAAATTAATTTTAACATAACAAAATTTAAATTTCTAAATAACACGGTTTTACGGTTTTCAAAGGTTGCCTAAGTATTTCAATGGTAACGAAAACAACTCAAGTAGCAGCATTTGCAGCAGTAGCAGAAGTTACGGAAAGCTATCACTCAAGTATTATCATGCTTAATTACCATTCAGCAGCAACAAAAACATTTTTCCTTTGTTTTATTATGATGCCTTAATTTTTCTTGTAGCATGACGAGAAATAAATGTACAGAATCATGGAAAGCTAAAGCAAAAATTGATTTCGAAAGGGCTACAAAATAAAACCCCATTATAACATGAAGAAAATGTTTTATATAATATGATAGTGTATATTTTTTAAAGTGTATTTTTTAATATATATTAAAATAATATATTTTTTATTTTTTAAAATTTTTAAAGTTAATATTTCAAAATGATAATATCATTAAAAAATTATTAATTTAAATTATAAAAATAAAATACAAAAATAAAGTTTCATGATGAGAAGTATTACAAAATAATATTGATAATAACAATATATTGATAAATATCAGTAATTTTAAAAACACAAGTAAATTATTTAACTTGAAAAAAAATAATTTAATTAATTAAGTTCTAGATAAACAGATAATTTTAAGGGGTGTGATTTAATTGATCAAATTTTATATTTATTCTCTAAAAATTATTAGTTTGGAATTTTATAAATTTTAAAAATATTAAAAATTTATATAATTATTAATTTTAAATTATATAAAATTAATTAAAAAAATATATAAACTAGCAAAAAAAAAAAAACACAAGCAGATTAATTAATTCTGTAGATACCCAGCACCTTTTACTTGGAAAGAGAAGCATCGGTTAACAAAGGATAATTTGTTTGATATCGTGGTTGTAAGTTATTTTGTAACTAATTTTCTGTATTAACATATATATATATATATATTAATATTTTTTTTTATTTTTTAAAATTATTTTTGATATTAATATATGATTTGAGAATATTAAAAATATATTAATTTAAAATAAATAAAAAATAAAAAAAATTAAATGTTTTTAAAAATACTTTCAAAACAGAGAAATAAACAAGCTTGCTCGGAGCTCACTGAAAGTCAATGGCGGGAAATAAACTCTGAAACCCTAAAAAGAGGGCACAGAGTCAGAACTCAGAAGTCAGAACCTCAATCTTTCCATTTTCTAAAATTCTCTTAACTCTGTCTTATTTTTTATTTTCTGGCATGCAATAATAAGTAAGTATATTCCTACTCTTCCTTTTCGCTTCTTTCTTTTTTCCATTACAGTCCGCCAACCAAAAAAAAAAGAAAAAAAATTAATTTCCATGGCGAGGCTTGTTACTCTGAGACGCGCTCTTTTTGTTCCCGAGGTACCTTATCTCTACATTTCTGTTTGATGTTTATTTAAGGTGCCTGATCATTTTTACTACTGCTCGTTTCACCTAGTTCAGTATTATTATCCATACGCTTGATTTTTTTTGTTTTTTTTCGGTGGAACTCTCCATGTTTCATTCTATATTTGTTGTTTAAACAGGGTTGTTTTGCGTGTATTAATTAATGAATTACTTATATATATATATATATATATATATGTATATATATATATCAGGGACTAAGGAGAGTTGTGCTGGGAACTTCTTCTCAGACACGCAATTTTGCTACAAAAGGTATTGAAAGTTGATGAAATGGACAAGTTATACTGAAACTTAAGAGTTTATAGTTCATATGAGTAATTCTGTAATTGTAATTAACAAGCCGTGTCACTCAATAATGGCGTGGATTTATTTTTTTTTCATTTTTCAGGCTACATTGTGGATTTGTAACAAATGTCTACCTTTTTTTCTTATTTAAAACCATTATTGATAAGGTAAAAGAAAATCCAAGTCAGATGGAAGCGAGTCTGGTGAAGAAAATACGTCAAAGAAAGATTTGGCTTTACAACAAGCCCTTGATCAAATTACTAGTCAATTCGGAAAGGGATCTATCATGTGGTTTGGCCACTCTGAAGCTCCCAAAAATGTTCCGGTCGTGTCTACAGGTTCCTTTGCTCTTGATATAGCACTTGGATGTGGTGGATTTCCAAAGGTTTGACTGAACACTTTTCATTCAAGCATTTTGTTGCTTTGTTTTTGTTAACAATACTCTGTTTTGCAACGCATAAAGTTTCTTAAACAAAAAATGCTTTGACTGGTTACTGTTTTGCAACTTTTATCCCTTGAAATAGCTTAAAAGTGTATTAGTTTTGTAAGGAGATCTATTTTGAGTTTATTGTGCTTTAACTGAATGTTTAGGGTTGGAGTTGATAGTTCATTTCTGGTTCTGTGAATTCTGAACCTCCATATATTTAATGCAAACAAGAATCAAACCCCACAGTTTCGTGTTTTTTTTTTTTTTTGTGCTGCATATTACATATTGAAATTGGATTTCAACAGGGTCGTGTGGTCGAGATTTTTGGTCCGGAGGCTTCTGGGAAAACCACTCTTGCTTTACATGTAATTGCTGAAGCACAAAAGCAAGGAGGTTACTTCTTAAATGCCTACAAGATTTATTTTTAATTCTTATGCCAGTAGTAGCTAGTTGTTAGGACTAACTAATAAATTATTTATAATGAAAATATAAAGTAAGGACATGACATGTCAATTTTTGTACCATTCGTCATTAAGTTGTCAAGCTATTTTATTAGCAAGTTCAGAAAAAGATTCAAGTATTAATCTTTCTCCAGTAACATACGTAGAATATTGGATACTGCAAATTGTTTCAGAGGATTTTAAGTCAAAGAATTTTGCTGAATTGTCAAGGACTCGATTTCAATTCTTCCATGGCATTAACATGTCTACTTCTTTGCAGGTTACTGTGTTTTTATGGACGCTGAGCATGCCCTTGATTCATCATTAGCTAAGGCTATTGGGGTGAACACTGAGAACTTGCTTCTTTCGCAACCTGATTGTGGTGAACAAGCTCTCAGTCTTGTGGACACTCTCATCCGGAGTGGTTCTGTTGATGTCGTTGTTGTTGATAGTGTAAGTAAGGTGCTTTATTGGCTTGTAATCTTACATGTTATCAAGTCCTCTCTTAGTTAAAGTTTCTTGTATTCAATGGATAAGGCTTTGTGGTTATAGTTTCTTGTATTCAATGAATCAGTGTTTGTATAATGTAATACTTGGTAAGATAATTCATTCCCTTTACCACCCCCCTCTTACTCACCCTCTCATATGTCCTATTTAAGGGTTATCATCTTAGTAGAGTTGTGTTAACCGTTATGCCTGCAGCTTTTGCTGCAGATAGCGCGAACGCACATGTATTAGACATCAATGCTTGGTTAAAGTTTATTTGTTTAGAATTATCCATACCATTGAATTTCAGACTACAGTTTGGAATTAAGTCTTGTTTTTATTTTTCTATTGTGAATAATGACAGGTAGCTGCACTTGTGCCTAAAAGTGAACTTGATGGAGAGATGGGTGATGCTCATATGGCAATGCAAGCCAGATTAATGAGCCAGGCACTTCGCAAACTGAGCCACTCTTTATCACAGTCACAGACTGTTCTGATCTTTATCAATCAGGTGCTATTTTGAAGTATTAGTTCTATCATTTTAGGTTTAGTTTTATATATATATATATATATATATAATAGGAGATTGAAACTGATTTACCGTGAAACTATAAAAGATGTATTTGTACATTCATTTTAGGTACTGGCTTAAAAGACGCAGCAGTTATTTGCATTCAAAACTAACTAAAGATTGGTCATTTACCAAATCTGGTCCAGATGTCATGCCAAATGGATTTTTGTCCCAATCAAAGAAACTTCTTGTATGAGTTTTCATTCAGGCTGTCAATTTGGCTCAGTAGAGTAAAATAATTGCGTGCCAGGATTGTAATTGAGTTGAGTATTATACTGTTCAGGCTTGGTTTGTTCAAATTAAAATCAAGTGAGTTGGACTTAAGTTTATTATCCTGCCAAAAAAATGTAGAAGTTTCGTTTACTACCTCCTTGAATGAATTTGAGCTTGTACATGAATGTAATGATTAACTAATTTGAGCTTGTACATGAATGTAATTTTTTTGTCCCAACATTGATGTCATCTTTGTAGTTCCTAGTAGTCCTAATTGATGCTTGTGGTGGCTGACCTACATTAGAGCTTGTTCAAGGGTTTGGCCAGAACTTGTGTGTAATGGCTGTCTAATTGAGATTTGACTCGTGAATCAAAAAGGTCCATTTTTGGGATTGTGAATCATAAAATTTAGTAACAAATGATAATGACATTAATAAAATATAAATAACATAGTAAATCTTGTCATTTAAATTTTTATTTCTTAGTCATTTAATTACTTAAGTCTCAAAATTCAACATATTGTTCATTGCTACTTGATTAGTCTAAAGACTGAATAATCTTGTTCTTCCCCAACATTGATGTCATCTTTGTAGTTCCTTGTCCTTGACACTCTTGCTTTCACTGTTTTCTTTTTTTGTGAAAATATAATTTATAATTCATTTAAGTTTCTAGTAGAAATATTTATTGAAGAAGATTGTTTACATGTTGACATACATGACCTCTTGACTTAGCATTCCTATTCTTACCACCTCTCTTAAAATTATGCATTTTATTTCAATTTTCTATTCGAGAGGACTTGTAAAGCTCAATGAATTGTATTGAATCAAATCAAATCAAATCAAATCCTTACTGAATTGTAAGATTCAACAGAACAAGGAGATCTAGGGAAAATAGAAATAGCATAAAACTCAACAATCCAGCTATCATTGAAACAGTAGAGTGAAAGTAGGATGAGGCATGCCTTTACCCTTCGTGTTAGTAGGAGTGGATTAGTTAGAATGGGTTCATGTGAAGAAGAGGTATTAGTCAACACCTTTGGGCTTGTGTCAGGTAAGTTAATAAATGACACACCAGTAGGCAACAAAGGAGATTTCTGTGATCTTCACTGAATCCGTGTTGAAGATGCGACAAAGTGTTTGAATCATTGTGGATTGTCCAAATCAAATGCCTAGTTGCATGATCAAAGCCAATAGTCGTAAGCTATGTCCTTCATCATGATGTCAAACAAAACTATCCATGGAATCGTTATAATGTACCAAAGCAAGGAGTAAATCAGTTGAAAGCCATGTTCTTTCTAGCAAGCAAATCAAAGGAGTTGTCAAGCCTGGGCAAGCTAATTTTCAGTAGTATACCAAAGAGTTGCAGCTGGGGCACTAGTTAAAAGGCAGTTAGGCTCAAGTTCAGTTTCTTAACAAGATATCAGACAAGGTTGGGAAAACTAGTGAATTAGTTGAAGTTCAACCATCTCTTGTTTGTGAAAGGATAATTGCATTCTACTTATCTAACCATTGTCAGGTAACTGGTTGAGGGAGTATGTTCCGTCATTTGTAAATCTTGTATATGAACATGCTGGTTCTCTAGCCTTGTATATTTTTTGATTTGATATATATTTACTTACCTTTGAAAAAAAAAATGATAATTGCTTTCTGTCTATCCAATTGCATAAGCTCATCCGGTTCTAGCGTCGAATGGGAGTCCTCTTTATTTTTGTCTCTTCCATCTTTAGAGTTTCTTATTGTGCTTAAGAAGCCCCTAATCTTTTCTATCAGTACTATTGGTGAGCTAACATGCTAACAGTAGTTATAAACTAGTCTTTATTAAGGTTTCCTTTTTACCTAGCATGATAACAAAATAACTAACAAGCTTAGAAGACTAGTAGTAGTTCTACTAATAGGACAAGACTGAGTTGGATTTTCTTGTCCTTTGCATTTCTTCCTCTGATCTGATTGTGCTAATTTAGAAGGGCCTAAAGAATGTTAATAGTTATCTGAGGCAAGTGCATAAGAGAGCAAGCTTGTATTAGAGAGGACCAAGAATAGTACTAAATCTATTGGCACTTTAAAAAAATTTCTAAATGGAAAAACGCTTCTACTGTGTTGACCCTTTCTAACTGAAAGACCAACACTACTTTTAGTCTATATAGCTAGATAAACTCCCAGCCAATAGGCAAGGACAAGCTATTTGTCTTTCAAGCAAGCTATGGATAAGAGGGATAGGTCAAAGGTTAAGGACCCAAGTTATTTGATTTGAGACTCTTAAGCTAGTTCAATTCCTTTTCACATTGATGCCCTCATTGAAAAACTAGTTGTCGAGTGTAAAGAGAACATGAAAGTTGCTCAACAAAAGAAATACGATGATTTAAACTGTTGGTTATTTTGATTACACGTTTGATATCATCACAGAGGTAGAATTGTACAAAGGATACATGGATACAACACATATTGATGAAGCAAGTTAACCTTTGCTATTCATTACTCTGGAAATTGATGGAAGAGAAAAAAAAAATACCAGTAGTTGTTTCTGGTGCAAGCTTTTTTATGGAGGAACTTAAGCTAATTTCTAGAATTGTTGTACACTTGGGAGTGAAGAAAGAAAATGGGTTGGCAATTCTTGATTGGACACACGAGATTGAGGCAAGAATGGTTTTGGTCCAAGGATGGGTTTCTTCCTACTCACAGAGAATGATGCAGGAGTTGTATTTATAATTTATTCTATTTTGCTTATGATATTGAGGATGTTTAATTAATCTAGGGTCGTGTGATTAGCATCTGACTTTTAAAGTATTTCCTTGGAGGTTAAATTATTTTAATTGGAGCCCAAGACTAGAAATCCTATCCCTACAAGGATCTAGGGCTTTAACTATGTATAAATAAGGGTGCTAGGTTTAATATATAGACTTTCTTTGTTATTTTATCAATCTATTCAGATTTTAGAGTATTCTTCTCTCCCTTTTTTTTTTCCCCGTTATGTATTCTTTCTTGTATCTTTTTCTTTGACGTGTAATTTAATTCCTTCCCTTCTGTTGCCCTGGTAGCATGGTCAAAAGTAAGCAGTCAATATCGAGCTTACCCTTTTCTGATATTAATGCCTCCATGATTCTGGATATGAATTTTGGATCCATTTATAAATTAGTGTGCTGATAATTAGTCCATTGTAATTGGAATTGAGACTGGCTGTGCTAGTAATGGCATGAAATTATACTGGCACCGTCAGAATTTATTGCAATATGATGCGTGTATGTGTGTATGTATAATGCTTGGTTCGTTAACTTTATCTGTCAACAGGTGAGAGCAAAGCTTTCAACTTTTGGATTTGGTGGGCCCACTGAAGTAACCTGTGGTGGTAATGCTCTGAAGTTCTATGCTTCTGTACGCCTAAACATAAGAAGGGTAGGGTTTATCAAGAAGGGAGAAGAGGTATGGCTGTTTATCTTTTTCTCAACCTGTGAATTTGAAACCGTGTCAAGATGAGGAACTTTTGTGATACTTAATTACGACACTAGGTGAAATAGACTAAATTTGCATTAGCTCCACCCTGCTTTGGGCTCCTTTAGACAATATATTCTTGGCTTTGATTCTGGTCTTGTTCATTGTTTTTCAAACAAGGTGCCAGACATGCAACAAAGCTTAAGACACTTGCTGGTGTAAGCTTTTGCTTGAATGGGATACAGGCTTGATCTATGATGTCAGAAAAATATAGGGTTGACAAAGGAATTGAGAAGGGAGGGATGGATTCCTCTATTTTGCAAATCAGTGTATCTTTTTACAGAGAGTTTTCTGGAAGTGACTGTCGGTTACCTCACTGTCTCTTGGCTTGAGATCTGTTTGTTTTAACCACCTCTGCATGCTTAGTCACCCATGAAGACATTTAGAAGATTGTTGTTGACAATTGGTTTATGTCTCATTCAAGATGAGTAAACAAGTGAGATGAATGACCTCGGATCTAGTGACTTTTGACTATACATTGTCTTCGGATCTCGTAACTGTCTATATTTTGGATTGAAGCTGGTTTACTCTTTGTTTTTTTGTTCAGAAATGGTGAAGGGATGGGGTGGGGGAAGCAAGACGTGCAGATTCTAGATTATTAGGTTTAAATCTCATCAATTATACATTTTTGGTTACAGAGGTTCGCATCACTTTGTCTTCTTTGTGTCAAAGTGTTGATACTTACTTTGTTTTTCATTTGCAGACAACAGGAACTCAAGTTCAAGTGAAGATAGCGAAGAATAAGCTTGCCCCTCCATTTAAAACTGTTCTGTTTGAGCTTGAGTTTGGCAAGGGAATAAGTCGTGAATCGGAGATCATAGAATTGGCAGTGAAACACAAATTCATCAAGAAAAATGGTGCATTTTATGACTGTAATGGTCGCAAGTACCATGGCAAGGAAGCACTGAGGGAGTATCTAGCTCATAATGATGATGTCCAGGAAGAGCTTATGATGAAGCTCAGGGAGAAGCTACTTGAAGCTGAGAATGATCAGGAACTGAAAGATGAGACTACAGATGGAGAACCAACCCAAGAAACCATCCCAGATTCTACCGATGAAGAAGTACTTGCCGCAGCTGAAGCATATACATGAACAACCTCGGAACTGTAGATGGAGGTTTATTCTGCTAAATCCCATGGCATCGCCCAGTTTTCTATGGAGTCCTGCCATCCCATCTCCTGCTCATCAACAGCACCAGCATTTCCAGTGGCCACAAATTGAAGGATTCGGAAGGCATCAGGTTTATTATTACTAAAAACTGCCCAAGCTTGTGACAGGACACATGGTTTGTGATTGTGCCGCAGCTGAGACTTTTTAATCGTCAGTGTAGGTTTTGGTTCTAGAATGGATCAAAGTTTTGCGGGTCTAGATGAGCTACTGCTGAAAATGCATGGCGATTGCCATATTTCATGAAATGTACACCTAAATTATGTCTGTGAATGGGGCCAATTTTTTTTTTTTAATTTGTTTAGTAATTAAAAATCCAGCGCAGTATCCTATTCAATGCATCCCTGTCATTGTGTTTTACGCGGGTGCTTTTTTAACTGTTAAGAGGCTAGGGCATCAGAGTTGGTCGGAACAGATGAAAATGGCGTCCATGCTAGCAAATAAATCCTTTTCCTCGTGGTTTCTGCTCCATACTGTCGGCCATGACTCCGTCGGCTATAAATATCGGTGATCGCACAATCCGGTATTGCCCCGAGCTCTTAAATTATATCTCAACTTAGTACCTTTAAATTCATTTCATGGAAATCCGACTTGGAAACAAATTCAGCTACGTCTTAAAATACAAAACCTTCTTATACTGTTCTAATACTTGTTTGATAATATATTCAAGCTATCTGTATCTGTTGATAAATTAATCAAGCCGTACATACAATTTAGAACATTATATTACACCTTGAAAGTGTTAGGAAAAACATTGTACTGTGAATATACAGTCATGGTATTGTTAAATAGGAAACAGTAACTGAGAAGAAAAGCAGACGAAACACTCACAATTCATTTATAAATACAAGAAAGTACGATATTATATTAACTTTGTTGAAGGTCATAACATTGCATTGTGGTGGTTGCCAATCAATGGTCTTTCTAGGAATTTGCAGGGGATTGCGATTCGGTTCTAGAGTGGTGGGGACGAAGCTCAGTTGTTGAGGGCCTAAAGAACAAGAGAAGGCTTTCCTTTTGGGCTTGGTCCAGACAGCATGCTATTTTTAAACTGACAATCACCCAGCCTTTTGGGCTGGCCCAAACAGCTGGGCTGTCAATTTTCTTTTTTCTTTTTCCTGCTGAACTATCTTCTTCATTTGTACATCTCCTTTTCCGCTCTTAGTTGACGATGCTTTGATGCATATGGATATGGCAAATAACTGAGTTAAGAAATGACATTTTTTTATGAACTTTTAAATGTCTTCTGTTAAAATCTTGGAGGAGATGGAATCTGGCAAGATTGTTGTAGATAAAGCATCCAGTAGTTGATGACTGTTCTGTTCCCAATGAAGACGAAGAGGTAAATGGCTATTTAGTAGACTTTCCTGACTGGTGCATTTAACATTTGTTTGATTCGATTCTTGTTGAGAAGTGCTTTTATGTCTGTCACCGTCACGTAGTTGCAAGCTCAGCGTGGCACTAAGCCGTAATCGGTAGATTTGCTCTCTATTCCCTGTTTTGGCACCAGCAGCTTTTAATCATTTGAATGTCTTTTCTTTGGGAAATCGTTCGAATATATCATCCTTGAACGGGCGTTAAGAGATAAATCATTCATGTAGTCGTTCTAGATAAGTTGTTCTTATGTTCATGATGTAAAATTATTAACTTTTAATCTTCCCTAGACTGGCAATGAACCACGCTGGCCCCATTCTGTTGGGAACTTCAATCTCGAAGCTGGAGCTTGCCTGCCTTCGTCTTTTGTTTATTTACCATGTTAGGATAGCATACTTGAAATTAAACATAGGATTTTAATTGCAATTGTGTGTTATAAGGGGAAGAAGAGGCCTATCTCGAAGCACTGAGAGTGATGAGGACGAGCTAGAAGAGCAGTCTATAATTCCCAACTGATTGCAACTCGAGATATCAATAATTTCTACTCGCCAAGCTCTGGACAAGATAATTGTGCGGAAGAAAGGCTTCCTCGGATTACATAGTACACTGGAGATCAAGAAAAAAGCATCCCATATCAAGGATAGTAGCCGAGGCAATCATCTCTTCCTGCTTCAATGCAAAGCTTAGGATTAGCATAGTGGGCTGGAACTACATGTAATAATCATGGTAAAACCTTGCACAGTTGATATAATTTATCAGGCGTCTGGCCCTTCTTTCGTGTGATTCTTGCTCATGCGAGCGTATAAGACCTGTTTCTATTTCCATGAAAAATTATGAAATAAAAATTGCTTGTTGCTTCGTTACTGACCATCCGCAGCGAATAGAATGCACGAGTTCATCTTATAGGGCCGGCACACGACCAAAATAGCACCGTCACTGTCCTCGTCCGCATGATTCATCAGATCACGCATGCAACATTTTGTCCTATCATTGATTTCAAAACCTAAACATTGAAAAACTCTGATATTCTTCTTTTTTGTCTCGACTAAAAATCTGTAATAAAAGAGATACCAAACGCCAACGAAATAATCAGATTCGAAATTTTCATACTCGGACGTGTAGTTGCTTCATAACCATTTGTTTTTTGGATGCCGAGCACCATGGTGAGCTGACTATCAGCCAATTGTTTTCAAATTATTACCATGATGTGCTACAAGTGATGTTTACGATTTCAATACAATCTAGAATCTTGATGCGCACCACTACCTAGCTGGGTTTACCCTTAGTCCTGCTGTAAGGTTGCCTTCATTAACTTCAAAACAACAGCTGCTAATTCAGTTTGATGTGAAGTGTAGCTATGATTTGCTCCTTCTATGATGTGTAGACTGTGATTTGGTATGATCTTGGCAAACTCTAATGCGTCCCCCACTGGGATGATTTCATCAGCAGATCCATGAATAGTGAAGACCCTGCATGCAGAATAGTGGTAATGAAGGCACAAACAATACACAGAAAGAGACACACCAGTGTAAAATGCATTATAAAGCATTGACAGAAATTGAAAATAGATTAAACAGAACAAGAAGCAAGCAATTGGCTATAACAAAGAAATTGCCAATCTAGGAACTAGAGATGCAGCAGCACTTCTTTGGATAAAAAATGTGTCATCGCCTGAATTATGCTTCAAGCAACATCACCAAAATGGATTTCCAGCAGCAAAAAACAAGGAGAAGACCAAATTGTTTATTTGTACAATAAAATAGCATGGTGCATTTTCACAAGAAAATCACTCTCTCTCGTTCATCACAATTAGAAAATTCTTGTTTCCTTTCTTCTTGTGCTTTGAGAGCATCCGTGGGGTTGCCTGTCATTAGTGTGTTAATTTCATTTCATCAAGTCTAGGGATCTCATTTTGCTTATTAGCATCTAGCTTATGGATAGATTTTCACAAAAACATTACAACTGGAACTAAGCTTGACACCCTAGACATGCTTGTCAAGCAAAAGCAAAGATAACAAGCTACTTAAAGATGAAAGCGCTCACCTGCAGTCCTTATTGATTACAAGGCATGCTTTATGAATATCAGTATTCAGGCAATCCATCAAACTTTCCTCAGTCACACGATAAATAACACTTCCTGCAGAAGGTTATGTCAGGCAGCTTGCAAAATCTTTCACTTAAGAAATTAATTTACATATATTCTGGAAACAAGAATGGATTACCTGTTCTATTCTTAACATTGATGAATCCATCTTGTTTTATCTTTTCCGTAAAGTCTTTTCCGATCCGTTCTTCAATGCCTCTCTTCAGATCATAACGGCCAGAAACATTGAAAACAGTAGTTATATCCTGATATTTGGAAGCATATAGGAGCACCACATCGCCTCCTGCAATTACATTGTTGGCATGACAGCTTTCAAAGAGAGGATTATAATTTACATAAACTTATTATTTATCATAGCAGACTTTGCACACTACACTTCCAAAACAGATGAGTTGAATAGAATGTGAAATTGACACAGCTAATCATGAGAAGCATTATTACTAAACGGCCCTTCATTTCCACTCAAAAAAACAGGCCCACTTTTTCCATGCATTATATTACTGAAAACCCTTCATATTCTGGGTTTCTTTCTTTAGAATTCCCATCTGAGTCTCCATCTTAGATTAGGCACAGAAGACGAGTAGGCATCTTTAGAAGTATTTGTATGACATTCTGCATGGAGATTTAACATGAAGACTTTGGAGAATAAGCTTGTCGTTTAAAAGGTTCCATCTAAAGTTGACATTCGACAGATAAATAATACCCCTACACCATGTCTCGTTGGAGCTTAAAACATATATCAGAAGTGAATAAATTAATAACATTCATGGCAGTGTTGACTGCCCGCCAACATCGCTGAGAGCCAAAAGTAGAGAATGTTCCAGGCAAGCAGTAGCCAAGAGCACTACCTGGAGTATCCGTTGCCACCTCAAATGACTTCCCACTTCCGCCACTATGGCAACAGCATCAGCACACACATTTCCAAGGGAAAATTTATCTCCAGCTCTCTATCAACATTGCCACCCAGCAGACACCCTTTTACCACAAGTGGATGCATCATGAGTGCTGTGTCATCATCAATGGTATGCATGCCACACCCAATTTTCCATCGCCTCATCAACTGAGTGTTATTACATTCAGAACAACCTCAATACCTTTCACGCCTTATTCCTAATCACTCTTTTCTACTATCACATGATTCACTACAACTATGCATGTCAACTTCTATTGCCTCCATCTTACTACAGCAATGGAAATTCAACAACAGTGGTATTATCTGCATTAACATTGTAGGCTTAAAAAACTTCATCTTGGCAGTGGCGTCTACACAATTTAGATGTTGAATAATCATATGCACACCTTTACTATGCCCTAGAATTGCACTTATGGCACGGCTTGCTCCACGGAAGTATTCCATTACAGAACGTAAATCATCAGCCTCTCTCCAATAACTACCATACGCAAATGAACCTTCACTTTCCCTGATAAAAAATATTACAACAAAATCAGCATGAAACTAAATGATTATTGTTTGCAGCAAGAATTGAACTGTGTGCCAGCGATTCAGGCAATTGGAATCTACCACGGTAAACACAGATTTAATTCTTCCAGGTTGAGAACAAACAACCACTAACTGATCTGAAAATATTTCCACTATAACTGATATCTAAACAATTCAATTATAAACATGAAAGTCCTGGAAGAAATCAAGCATGATAAATTTGGTAAAATATCAAATTGATCTTCGATTCTTTTTAAAGGAGACCCCTACGGATCACAGAAATAACAATCAGAAATCAACCCACAATTCTCTTTGCTCTGATTGATTCTAAAGCGTTGGAAAAATAGAAAGGTCCTTCGACATTAAATTGGTCATCAGCTTCCACAAAAAGAACGAAGCAAGTAGCAGATTTTAAGACCAAA